GCCCCCTGCCGAGCCCCCGCCCCGCCCCCTGCAGCCCGGCAGGATCTTTCTTAGGATACTCACATCAAAGTCCACTCTCTCCCCATCGGGGATCTTCGGGGGGGCCAGCTGGGGAACCACCGGCCTGCTGCGGGGCGGGCAGGGAGAAGGGATAAGAAACACGACAAGGAGGAAAGGGATTGACGCTTGACTGTTACAAGTTCAGACCCCGCCCGGCGCTGGGACTCGGCCCCTCTGAGGTGGGGTACGGGAGCTTGGCACACAGGGACCCCTCGCCCGGTGCTGGGATGCGGCCCCTCTGAGGTGGGGCACGGGGGCTGGGCACACAGGGACCCCTCGCCCGGCCCTAGGATGCAGCCCCTTTGGGTCTACAGAGTCGCTTAGTGCATTGGGACAGCACTCCTGCCCAGGTTGTGGGGTTCCCTGCTCTGACTTGTGGGTGGAAATGGGGGATCCCCCATCTTACCCCCCTCCTCACGGGTACTGCAGTTACCTGGGTTTGGGACGCTCCTCTTCTGTGAAGAGAACAAGAGAAACATTGTTATTAGACAGAGAGATTGGGAAACAGTTTATGTGTGGGGGGAAATTGGGGGGACCCAGGGGGATGACACCCCAAAAACCTCTTAGCAAGAAAGCCCCTGATATGCTCCACCTGTATCCAGTTCAAATGTCAGGGAACCTTCATAAGGTGGGGTGAGAATTGATGTGGGGGGGGGAATCCATGGACAGGTGGCCCCCCTCAGACGGGGAAGAGAGAGTCCTGGCTGTTGAATAAAAAAAAAGGAAGGAAAAAAAGGGAGGAAGAAAAATGTATCCCTGAAGAAGAGAAGAAAATCCATGAGGAGTGGGGGGCTGCAAAGTGGGGTACAGGGAGCGGCACCGGAGATCCAAGGGGGGGTGTCATAACATTAGCTGCGGAGAAGGGTTTGGGGGAGCATGATGCTGGAGGAAGCCAGGGGGCCAAACAAAAAAGTCCTTCCCGTGGAAGGTTTTTTGGGGGGCAAGTAAAGGGTTAGAGAAGGGGGTTGAGGAGGACGGGGCCCCAGGAAGGGGCCTGCAGTGGGGGAGGGGCTCCCCCACCCCAGGGGACACAGACCGGGTCCGTTGTGAGTAGTTTTAGAGGCAAGCAAACTCTGCGGCTGCAGCGTCTCTATATGGATAGAGGTTCATATACATTCGGCGCCCCGCCCCCCAGCAGCTCCCCTTCCAGCCCCCTCCTCCCAGTGCAGTCAGGGGCGACTCCGGATGGACCCAGGGGGAGCTAAGATCAGAATCCGGCCCTGACCCCATTGCAAACAGGAGTGACTCTGGATTCGAGGGTGGGGGACAGGACTGAGCTCCAAAGTCCTGACCCCATTGCGAACAGGAGTGACCCCGGATTGACCCTGGTGCAGCTGAGCTCAGATTCAGCTCTGACCCCATTGCAAACAGGAGTGACTCCAGATTGACCCTGGGGAAGCTGGGCTCAGATTCCAGCTCTGACCCCACTGCAAACAGGAGTAATTCCAGATTGACCCTGGGGAAGCTGGGCTCAGATTCCAGCTCTGACCCCACTGCAAACAGGAGTGACTCCGGGTTGACCCAGGAGAGCTGAGCTCAGATTCCAGCTCTGACCCCATTGCAAACAGGAGTGACTCCGGATTGACCCTGGGGAAGCTGAGCTCAGATTCCAACTCTGACCCCACTGCAAACAGGAGTGCCCCCGGATTGACCCTGGGGAAGCTGAGCTCAGATTCCAGCTCTGACCCCACTGCAAACAGGAGTGACTCCGGATTGACCCTGGGGAAGCTGCACTCAGACCTTCCCCCATGAGAACAGAACCCGGTGAATGTATATTTGGGTCACAGCCATGCACCCGGGAACCGAACTGTATCCCATACAGCCGCTGGGTGTATAGATATGTTCTTCCCGCCCGGCCCCGGGCTGCACCCCGGACTCGTCACAGATACATGGGAAGCACGTGCCTCGCCGCCCATGTATCGGGACCCGCGTCGGCTGGCCACGCACCCCGGGTTCGCAGGAGCCCACGTCTATATCCCAGCCCAGCCTGGCCCTGCCCACGTGGGATTTACCACCTGCCCTGGCCCCCGGGCTGAGATATAGAGAGAAACATATGGGGGGGGCACCCCGGGCAGAGCTGGGGCGGGGGCGTGCCAGGGACCAGGCTAGGGAAGGTGGAGGTGTCAGTCACTGGGGTGCAGGGATCTCCGGCCTCTAGGTGGCGCCCTCCCTCCATGCCAATAACCAGCAATTTCTATCCACCCCTGGCCAGTCCCCATCCATCCACCCCATCAATCCACCCCCAATCACTCCCATCCAGGCACCCCCTCTATCCACCCCCAGCCACCCCCATCCATCCACCCCGTCTATCCACCCCCAGCAACCCCCATCCATCCACCCACCTCTATCCACCCCCAGCCACCCCCATCCATCCACCCCGTCTATCCACCCCCAATCACCCCC